TTTCTCTCTCTCTCTCTCTCTCTCTATCTATCTATCTATCTTTCCCTCTCTTTGCAACTTGGTCTTTCCCTCTTGCACTGAGTGACATTAGCCGTAAATTCGTAGGTGTGCTAGCTTTTACTGGCACACAATTACAAAGGAACTGGTCTTTCGTAATCGGCCGAGGGCTGCTGTTGGCTCAGTAGATTTCATGCTCAGCTAGAGCTCGGGTGACTGGGGTTCGAATCCTTAAAGGTGTTGCTGAATGTAAGTTATTTGGTGGTGTACGTCGTGTTTTACTACCGTATCCATACGTCGTGGGGAACTCTGTGCCACCACTTTCCAAAGAGGAAATTTACTTGTTAATCCGATCCGTACGCTCTGCATAGCAGTCTGTCAAAATGATTTTTTGAGAAATGCTGAAAGTTTCAAACAGATGTTCGCACTAGAAGTAGAAGTATTCTAAAATGGGAAGAATACAACCCCGGGGTTACAAAATTACCCCTGGGCGTACGGATAGGGTTAAGGGTCTCCCTCCACTTGGCTCGGTCCTATCGGAGATAGATTTTAGATTCGGAGGCCCTTCCTTTTGCAAAACAAAAACTAAAAATATAATTAAACAAAACAAAAACCAAACATATAAAGAAACAGAACCTCACGATGTCGAAAGGGATGTTAAATGCGTACAGTTATCAATAGTTTAGTCAGCTTTCGCTCGTCGGCGAGAGGGTGAATTTTTGTTTCAGTGGGTGTGTGTATGTCTCGTGGAAAGGTAAGCGTTCTCACCCGCGAGTTTGTTGCTACCTTGTACTAACTCAGAAATTTGCGGTTTTTATGCAAGTCACATTAAAAGCACAAAGTTTCAGTCGCGAAAACGGGAGTTAGCGTGAAACACTGTAGAATTATAAATGGGCTATTTTATCAATGTCATGCTCATACTGTGCCGGAACAGCATAGGGGTAACTACTGCTATTTATTCCTCATCCTCACTCTCGTTATTTTTCCTGTACTTTTTTATATGTTTGTCACTCTCTTGTGAACTGCTATTTCCGGGGTGCCTTGATATTGATAATCGTTGCAGACTGTGCTGTTGAGGCTACAAAGGTGAGCTGAGTAAGCCTGATTCCCCTCCTAGACTTCTCTATTGACATCCACTCCATGGCGCTCATATGACCTTGTGCAGTTGCGAGCGCTGTAAAACCTTACTAAAACAAACACTTGTTTTTCTAACAGCCCATGCAGCTGTGACAAAACGTCCCGAAAGTCGGAAATTGAAGTTGGTGCATCAAGATGGCACTCGGCGCCTCATGTGCACGCGTCTTATGTTTGCTTTAACTTTCAACTGTTCTGTCACCGTTTAGGGTGTCTGAACACAAACATACACTGGGTTCATACTAGCACCTGGTTGACGTGGGCGGTTGGGGGGGGGGTTCCGCTGGTAGTTCCTACTTCTTAACCCGTAGCGTTTAAAAAAAATTACTTGGTATTTTGTCTCACTAGATTGCTGTTATCATGTCGATGTTGTGCTCTTTACTCAAACAAACTAACATACCTGCTAACCTGGTCACGCGTACGCGTCGTTTATTTTGTTTGTGGACACTTGCATATAATATGTAAATTCACACAGAAGACACGAGTTCGATCTCCACGTGGGAACTTGGTTTTGTTTTGAGTTGGGTTTTTTTTACGGATCATCTCCCTGTCTGTTCTGTCCTACTCAGCTTGGGTTAGATATCTAGCACTGGCAGGCAGAGTCGAAGCAGCTCAGCTCCTTAAATGATGTAAACTGCGTCAACGGTTGGGATCATTTTCAGGTGGGTGGTTGGCGGGTGCTTTGGTGTGTTTCCTTCTTTCCTATCAAACATCTATCCTTCCTATCTCTCCTTCTTTTTTGTTTGCTACTCTCTTGTAACACCACTAATCTTCGGTAACCTATTAGTGTTGATAGAGGCGTTAAAGGCATACCATTTCGTCGTGTTTTTTTTTTTATAATCTTCTCCATACGATTAAAAGACAGACAAACAAACAAACAAAAACAACCCACAGAACGTTTTTTTGTGTTTTAATTCGACAGTGCTCTAAATATCACTCAAGTCCCTACCTAAATTAATTAAAAACTGAACATACGTACACGTATTATTGTGAATGCATATAATATGATTAATTAAACATTTTCACATGTTTCAGGTATTGTTGGTTGTCGAGTGACCGGATTCGTCCATCGAAGAGAATAAGCTGAGCTAAACAAAATGGAGTACCGGCTCAAGACGTCGGCGGGAGAAGCTGCTGTAGGATGTCATAGTTTTTGGCTGAGCCTGAATAAAGTGAGAATAGAGGACAACTCATGACTACTACTTGACAGTCTTTTGTTTGCTTTTTGTTTGTTTGTTTGTCTATTTGATTGAGGGTTTTTTAAAACTGAGTATCTTGTTCGTGTAACTACTACTGTAAGACATGACAGCAATTCCACTGTGGCCTCCACGGTGACCCAGGATCTGGGCACTTTGCCGAGCCCGTTAGAAATTGAGAGGGGTGGGG